GTGACACTGCTTGGTTACTCTATGACACCTATGGGTTCCCAGTGGATCTCACTGGACTCATTGCTGAAGAGAAGGGCCTGGTGGTAGACATGGATGGCTTTGAAGAGGAGCGGAAGCTGGCCCAGGTAAAGAATGTGGAGTGTGAGCTGGAAGCCTAACACCTATCCATGAGTGATTTGGCTGCAAAGCAAACACAACTTCCTTTCCAATCAGTCTTTGAAATTTCTTCCCCCTAGACAAGAGGATCTGAAATAGGATGATTCTGTCCTGTAGAGTGTTTGGCAGTGATATCCAGAGACTTTTTTTTTTCTTTTTTGGCAGTACCAAGGATCGAACTTACGACTTTGTGCTTGCCAGGCAGGCACTTATACCACTGAGCTATCTCCCCAGCCCTACATTTTTGGTTTTAATAACCAGGGGCAGGATACTCCTGTTCATGGAGTCTGGGGTGCTGGTCAATACTCCCCAGTGCAGGCAGGCAGCAGATAACAGTGCTGTAGGTCAACCTCCCAGTAGTGCCCAGGTTGAAAAATTGGAGGATATAGTTTAGCAACTTTAAATTCTTTCAACTCTTGTTCTCCTACTTGAAATCACTAATGTTCATTTCTCTCTGGCAGCTGAAGTCTCAGGGCAAGGGCGCAGGCGGGGAAGATCACATTATGCTGGACATCTACGCTATCGAAGAGCTACGGGCACAGGGCCTAGAGGCCACAGATGACTCTCCGAAGTATAGCTACCACTCAGACTCCAGCGGTGGCTACGGTGTGTTGCTGGGCTCCGACCACTTTTGAGCTATCTGTCCCTCATCTGGGGAGCTTTTGAGTGTCAAGGCTGAAGACTAGGTGCCCCACAGCTCTCTTAGCCCTCTCTCCTATAGTACTATGCAGCTACTGAGAACTTTTATCCTCCTGGCACTCCTGGCTGGTGATATTCCTAACTTTTTATTTTAAAATAATTACAGGAAGCTGTAAAAAAAAAAAAAAGAGGAAGAAAAAAAGAAATTATAAGGAGGCTCCATGTAACCTTCACCAGTTTCCTCTGATTCTAACACCTGGAGGAGGGGACCAGGCAATTGATCTTGAAACAATACACAATGGCTGTTGTCTTGTTGAGATAGGATCTTGCTAGAAGTTATGGTCATCCCGCCTCGGCCTCCCAAGGAGAGAGTTACACTGGTATTACAGGTGTGTGCCACCATACCTGGGCTGCTGAATTTTGCATCAATATAATAGCATTCTAAAGTTAAGAAACTACTGGGTATAATGTTACACATCGGTAATCCTAGCACTGTGGGAGGCTGAAGCAAGAGGATCACCATGAATTACAGGCCAGCTTGACTACATAGTGAGACCCTGTCTCAGTTCTCCCTCCACAAATAAGAAACCGAGAGCCAGGGAGATAGCTCAGTAGAATAAGCGCTTGCCTGGCAAGCACAAGGTCTTAAGTTCAATCCCTGGTACTGCACAAAAAAAAATCTAAGAAATGAGGAAACACATTAATTTGATTCTTTGCTCTGGCAGAGACCGATCTTATACCAAAATCTGTCTAAGCAAACCCACAAGTTGAATACACTCTGTGATTTGGCCTTGGAACAACAGATTTATTACTGTTCTTAAAGGGTAATCAGAATTA